CTTTTAGTCTGTCTGCCTTTTATTAAAAAAACATATTTCTGAATATATCTTTTTGGATTTTGTATTCATGGAATTCAAGTTAACAAATGGTTAAAATTTATAATCCATGTCTATACCACATAAACGTGTATTTAAAATCAAGAATATAGGTTTTATTTTAAGTATCAAAAAAAAATTTCAATATAATTTATATTTATCTGTGTGACAGTATTAAAACTTCGACAAAATCAAAAATTATAGATATTTTTTATATTTTATTTACCAAAACTTCGGTCATAAATCGATCAGGTCTTTATTAGTTCCTGCATTATTATTTATTAATTGATTACGATTGAATATAATATTATTTGTCATATCAATCATTTATAAAGATTTTAGTGATTTATAAATAACATAATAATTATGAATTAATTTTTTTTTTACTTGCCCCTTACATAAAATAACTTTGTATCTTTTTTTATTATTATTGTATTTTTATTATTTAATGTCTTATACAAACTAGAGGAGCAACAAGGCGATGATGATAGCCAGCAAGCAGCTGAAGCAATGGTGCAGTTGAGTGGAGTCGGATTCTACACTCAACAGCAACAAGGTTTCTATTCATTTTACATACATGAGATCATACCTCTCTTAAGTTTTTTATATTGCAAATTTAAGATTATATTTTTTATACTATAATTAACAATATTTACATCTGTTTGTATATTTTAAAATTCATATACAAATAATATCTACTATATATGTATATATAAATTTAAGAAATAGGTTGATTTAAATCATAATAGTGTCTTCTTCAAATCTTAGTTTCATTTATATCTAATTTATAATGGGGAATAATGCTTTTTAATCAAGAGCAAATAATTACATTCTTAATAGAGTAACATATCTTGCAGATAAACTAACACCCACTGGTACCATTTCAATAGAAACCTTCTTACATGTTCCTATTCTCAGCAGAAACACTAAGGCGAATTATTGTTTAAATGCTGTCTGAAACAGTTCAAGGGCAAATGATTATATATATATATATATTAACACGACTAGTTCAATGCAACCTGGTAACCAAAATATTCTTTTAGTCTAAAATATATTGGCTATAGAAACTATTTCGACTCTAATAATCCTATTTGAATCACTAATAATGCAAAACTTAAAAGAGAATCAAGGAATTTTGGTGTCTATGGTTATAAATTCCCTAAAAGTATTTGTCAGGCTGGTATATAGTATATGGTATATGATATCATCAGATCATATATACCAGATTAGACAACTGCAAAGATGATCTCAGCTTTTAAGGCGATGTAAATATGCCATCATTATTATATATATTTACATATATACAGATATGCAGTTAGTATCGATCAAAGTAATCGATACTAACTAACTGGTTCGAAAGAACCTTATAGATGGATAACAAAGTGTTGCATAAATTCATAAAATTATGTACAGAAACTTGTTTCCGCTATTTTTTTTAACGGTCAGAAAGCACTGCGCATCTTTCCGTAGAACGCCCACTTGTCAGACTGCATTAGGTTAGCTTAGGTTATACCGGCGATCTCAACGAAATCCACTTAGGCCTATAGGCCCATTTTCCTACCTTATAATTAAAGACTCAAGAGTTAAAACCATCTAAAACCTTTGACAAAGCTTATAATGCTACTGAAAGGCAGACTCTATTAATACTGTAATAAAATATATTTAAACAACTTATTCAAGTCTACAACAAAAATTCTTAATAAAATAACTAATTTTCTAAAAGGATATATTTTAATTGTTTATCACCTTTTAAAAAAGTTTTTGAGAAATCTTAACAAAAACTATTTCTCAACTGCTGCGAGATTATCAGGAAACAATGCCAATATCCTCATCTTACCCTAAGACTCTGCAAAGTTTTTTATAACTGTTTACTCGTTTAAACTCTATTTATGTTAAAACAAGTCTTTAGAAATAACATAACAGAACTTTTACTTTAGCTTTTTAGATTTCTCTTTCCATTATAATAATGTATTTGCCCCGATTTATCTGAACCCACACTCAATTCGCTGAGTGTTTTATTTTGAACTTTCTAAACAGTATTTAACATTAAAAAGTGAAATTAATGAACGTTTGTCATACCTTCTCACTGATTATAATATACCCAATATTTCCATATCTTTCACGAAATCAAATTGGCTGTTAAGCTATTAGCTATTAAATATTATATCCTATTTATACATATTTATATAACTCAATATATACCTGTAATAATAATACATATAGACACATTTATTATTGTTTTAATTTTTTTATTGATAATCTGTTATTTCTTTTTCATCAACAAATTTAGATGACTCAATGGAACTGGACCCGAACTATGATTTAGGCGATTTTCTCACAATGCGCAATCGTAACAATAATAATTCACAAGATCAAGAATTTTTGGCAATACAAAATGATGAAAATGCCCAAATGAATAGCACAACTAGTTCTAACGAAAATGGAGACAACAGCATGCAACAACCAATAATGCCTTTATTGTTGCCGGGTAACGATAACGTTGGCATTGATGAGGACTTGGCTATATCTGAAAGTGACGAAGAGGATGAAAATGGTAGTGGTATGGCGATTAAAAGAGAACCCGTTCATGAAAACGATAATAACGCCAATGATTCTGCTCAAAACCAGCTACCAACGGATCGAAAAGATGAATTTAAGCACGAGGATAATGACGATGATGGCTGGTTGCGATTTTAAACGTACGAAATATTTAATAATGGATTGGTACTAATAATTGTAGACGTTGATATGTAATTATTTATTTTTATATAATTTTGTATTGGTTATATTTTAAATTTAATTTTATATGGCAAAGTTAAATTCCTCGTATTCCGCTGGTAGAACCCGGGAATGCATAATCCAGTCTCATTTCTGAAAGACTTTAACAGTTCAATAGAAATGATCTGCTATGAAATCCTCACAAAATGTTTGACAAAATACTGCAAAAAACAATATCACATTTAAAAAAAATGTGTTTATCTGGTATAGATACATGCTTATTTGTAGAATAGAAATGAAAATGTTTTTCATGCATTTTCTACGCGTGGCGCTCCATCGCAGGAAAATATAGCAGAATATTTCGGAGATTTTTCTGTTCTTCAATTCCTACTCCGAATATCTGATATACAACGAAACCAGAAAGAATTCTAATAGATTAAACAATCTTAAAAATACTGGTTGACATATTGAGTCGCATAATAGACCTCTCAGGTCGCGGAAATCCGGGTTGCATAATAGACCTTTTCGGGTTGCGGAAGTTCGAGTCGCATAATAGACCTCGCAGGTCGTGGAAATTCGAGTCGCATGATAGACTTTTTCGGGTTGCAGAAATTTGAGACGCATAATAGACTTCTCAAGTCGCGGAAATTCGGGTCGCATGCTAGACCTTTTCGGGTTGCGGAAATTCGAGTCGCATAATAGACCTTTTCGGGTTGCGAAAATTCTAAACGCATAATAGACCTTTTCGGGTTGCGGAAATTCAAGTCGCATAATAGACCTTTTCGGGTTGCGGAAATTCGAGTCGCATAATAAGTCTCTCAGGTCGCGGAAATTAGTGTCGCTTAATAAACGTTTTCGGGTTGCGGAAATTCGAGTCGCATAATAATAGGCCTTTTCGGGTTGCGAAAATTCGAGACACATAATACACCTTTCAGATCGCGAAAATTCGGGTCGCATAATACACTTTTTCAGGTTGTGGAGATTCGATGTCAATTGTCATTTAAAATATTTTTGTATCTTAATGTTTGTAATTTTGTATAAACTATAAAAATGTGTAATAGAACTACAATATATGTATCCCAAATCCAACTACCTTTCCTATTCTTATCCTAATATCTTACTCATATCTTCCTTCATTATTTTGTTGCGTACAACAAAAATACACGTGGAACATTAAAAATAGCTTAACCTTTTCTTGTAACATTAAGTTTTCTGTTATTGGCCTCATTTATTTTATAATTACAATATTTTATTGAAACTAAATAATTGTTTAAGTCAGTAATGTAATTCATATGTTTATTGTAGTTTGGTTCAAATCAAATGGCATTTGCGGAAGATCGTTAAAAATCAGTAAAACAGGATTAAAATGCACGGAACGATCAGAACCTATTCCCACTTGATTTTAACCAAGCGGTAAATGTTATTGTACATGTTAGTTTGTAAGTTTAAATTTAAGAACATAATTAGCAAAGCTTCAAAACAATGTTATCTATCTATCATAATTTACTTATAATAAAATAAACTTCTTTTTTTTAATATAATTTGAGTTTATAAATTTATTTACACGCCTAAATACTGAAGCAAGAAGAAAGTTTTATTCGTCAACTCATAATTACAACCTTATAAATACGTTCAATAAAATTCTAAAATCAGTTATAATCACAACGAAAATATTTTATATAATATCTGTTTATTATTCAACATAGTTGCTTTATCTATAAAAAGAAATTTCAAAATTTATATAAAGTAAAATGTTCTATAAATTTTATTATATTATATGTTATCAAAATTTACGAAAATATATTTACAAACAAATGAAATAAGTTATTTCATATGCAGAAGCGTGATACAAAACAAAAAATAAAAAATTGAAAACATTTATTTGATTGTCAAATAAATAGAATTTTAGTTTTTGTCTCTCAACTGCACTCAAAGATTTTAATTGTCTACTAATATTCTTCCTTATTTTCTTACCGTCGACAAACTGTGACATTGCAAAAGTACCTTAGAAAATATATCATTTATCTGGTTTCGTTCTTTGCTGTACTGGTTAAAATTTGTAAGATTTCCTCTATTAATGGTGCTTGTATAAGCTACAAATTATTGTGCAGTGCCATCTGCTGTCATATATTCAATAAGTGTAAAAGCTTTTTGGGACAATTTATTCCCAATATTAGTTTTTAAAAATCTCCTTTAATGAAGTTAGCGCCATCTGCACTAATATGTATACATATACCTATTTAAAGCCGCTGTATCAGCACAGACAATACAATGTGCTGAATACAGTTTGAGTATTACTGTGAAATATTGAAAAAGATGCACAAAACGTGAAAATACCTTCAAAACAGAAACAATATTAAAATTTTTTTTTAAAGAACTTTTTTGTATTGGTAATTTTAAATAATTAAAAAAATTGACTTTTTATTTTGCCTTAAGTTTTGACAAGATAATACTTGCCAAAGTCTAACGAGTATAAATTCAGAGTATGCTTATTTCGATGTTATTCTGAACGGTTAGACATAAGGGCAGCATGACGATAAACGCAAATAGTGATTTTTCGAGTGTATCCCGCACACATATTACTTAATATCTATTAAGCGTAATTTAGCAATAGTAATAAATTAACAAATGGTTAAGATTGTACTATTCATATCCAATAAAATATTTAAAAAAAAAAAAATTATGAGTGTATTAATTAAAAGGTGCTTCACTAGCAATAAAATTGTATATTTAGTGAATTAGGGACATTATTGAATGTTTTTTTAAAAATAATAATGTTAATGATAATCTAAGAAAAATATATGTTGTACATTGAATATATTTAAACGATTAGATGTAATAAAATGGACCATGACATGGTAATCAGCAAAATAGTCTGTCTCTAAAAATTAATTGAAACAATATACAAATTATATTTGCACATATTTTATAACCAAATCACACAATTCGAGGACATAACATAATAATAATCTTATAGTTAATTGTAAATTTTTGTCGTTACTATTCCTTCAGTACAAAGCCTTCATTTTTTAAATTCCATATTATGTATATGAAGAAAATAACACAATGTTAAGTAATTTATTGGAGTTGTGTCAACTCAAAGTACATATTGCATTTATAAAAAAATGTTTGATATTGTTTTTAACAAAATTTTCATAAACATTAGAGCTAATAAAAATAATATTTTAAATTTAAAAATACATACAAAATTTGTTAAATTCACTGCTTTTTACAATAAAATTAATAACTAACTTATTTAAAAAACTAAGAATATAATAGATTTTCACATAAAGCCTTTTAATGAATTTATATTACCGTTGTTTAAAAATAATTGAATAATTGTTTCTAGTGTTCATTCACAATGCGATATGAATCCAAAAATGATTATTAAAAACTATAATGTTATTATTTCTAGTTTTTATTGTTCATTTAATCATCAAATAATCACGAAGCTTTTAAGAAATATATAAATAAGTCTGTGAGAAGCGTGGGACTCTGCAGAAACACCCCAGCTATTAAAGAGTAAAAGTGCCCAGTTGCAATAATTCGGAAAAGACTCAACATGTATAACATTTATGAATATATTATTTGTAAATGTGTAGTGTAAATATAATAAAATTAAGCATGAACTTTTAATTTTTAATTGTCTTTTAACGAATTTATGCCATCATTGTTTAATAACAATGAATGTTTTTCGTTTTTCTACTCAATGCGATATAAATCTGAAAATATTAAAAATTTATAATATTTTCAGTTTTTATTATTTATATAATTGTTATCTACTACACTTTTTAAATTGTGTGCAAGGTAGTTTAGTAGAAGTGCTTTTAAACAACGATGGCAACTCTACGAAATGCTGATGTAAACAAAAAATGCAAAACACGAGCTACATTTATATTAAGACCAAAAAACTGATACTTTATCGTATCACACAATTATTTCGCGTATAATATTGTGGATTTGTTTTTATTAAAATGACAATTAACTGGAAAAAGTATATATTATGGTTTGCGCAGGAACATGTGGATTTCCGTATGGGGGTAACTTAAATTTATTATAAATATTAACAAGAGCTTATTTCGCAATTTTATTCACAGGAATTCAAGAGTATAGCAAAACTGTTTGATCTACGTTTCCAGATACTAACCGAAAATACCACAGTAATTATAAAAATTTAGTATTTTGTACAAAGTATAATAAAATGTCTTACGCTTATCTAACAGAATCCATACTGGGTAGTTGAGTTCCCGAATGATGAGTCAGCTTTAAAATTTGCCTCGCGTTCGATTGCACTGCGTTGTGTTTTGGAACTCTGGTCTCATGGAAATTCATTAACAGATTTTCACAAGCAACTACAATCTTACACAAAAGAGAATGACAAGGAAATAAATAATTACTTTAAAAAAGATTGCTCCTTTAAAATAATTGTGGAAACTTACAACAAACATCTTAAACAAGCGGAAAAAATTCAAAAAATAGAATCACTTGATTATTTGCCAATAGAAGGAAATGTGGATTTAAAAACACCACAGGTTGAGTGGTGGTATATAGAATTTTGGGGTCTCGATCCTACCAATGTGCCTGAAAAACCTGATGATGTGCTGTTTGGACGTTTGGTATGACAAATTTTAATTGCAATAAAATACTGACATTAAATTTATGTTTATTGAAATTTAGATATCGAACGGTCAACGACATCTAATTAAAGAACTTTCTTTAAAGAACAGAAAATTTATAGGAAATACAAGTATGGATGCGCAGCTTAGTTTATTAATGGCAAACCAGGCACTGGTAAGAGATGGTGATCTCGTTTTAGACCCATTTGTTGGTACAGGTTCACTGCTAGTGAGTTCCGCAAAATTTGGAGGTTTGGAAACAGTATTTTTTCTGCTTACATAAAAATTAATTAAAATACATTATAAATCAAAAACAGGCTATGTACTTGGAGCTGACATTGATTTTATGATGCTTCACGCACGTAATCGTCCAAGTCGGATAACGCAAAAAAAACGTGAAAAAGACGAGAGCATTCGTGAGAACCTTAAACAATACGGCTGTGCAGAACGCTACTTAGATGTTGTGGTAGCAGATTTTTCTAATCCACTTTGGAATAAACGAGTAAAATTCGATTGCATCATAACAGATCGTAAGTAATAAAATCATAAACATAATTCCAGAAAAAAACACAAAAATATTTATTATTTCGGTAGCTCCTTATGGTATAAGAGAAGCGACAGAAAAAGTGGAAATGAAGCAATCAAATAAATCAAATGTGCGAACTGCTGATATGCCACATTATCCTTCGACATCACATTATTGTTTGCAACAGCTATACGCTGATTTACTTTCATTCGCAGCTAACTATTTAAAAATTGGCGGCAGATTAGTGTGTTGGTTGCCATTTCATCGGTAAGTTGTTATTAGAAGAAGTCACAAAACAATAATTATTTCTTGCAATATTCAAATTAGCGAGGATTACACTGAAGAAATTGTGCCACGCCATATAAATCTGAAATTAATGGGAAACAGTGAGCAATTACTATGCGGACAAACGTCAAGAAGACTTCTTACCTATGAAAAACATTCTGATCCTGAATTACATGATAGCAACACACAAAGTGGCGATTTCATTGTAACAGAATTTAGGCCTAGGTATTTTGATAACGTTACGGAATCTCGTACGGAACGACGTTTGCGAAAATCGGAGCTGAGAGAACAAGGACGTATTGAAGCAATGAAACGCGGAAAAAATTTACCAGATTCACGAGAGTTGAAAATTTCTCTTAATAAAGCCAGATTTAAATAATATAAATAATTTATTTTTTTTAATGAAGAAAAAAAATTGCACATATAACAGATATATTTAAAAAATAAATCACATTGGATCAATTTAAACGGATAACCTGTTCAAGATGCTTTAGATTGAGCTTCTCTGATTAAATTATTTGCATCAAATTGACCTTCTTCAATGCGACAATTGAAAATATTTGCAAAACTTTTTATGAACTCATTTGATGCTTCGTCTATTGATACGTGGCGCTTAAGTTCAACACTTAGCGACGTAACACCTTTGCCTTCTATACCGCAAGGTATTATATGTTCAAACCATTTCAAGTCTGTGCTACAATTCAATCCTATACCATGTGTAGTCACGAAACGCGAACCATGCACACCAATGGCACATATTTTATTATCATTCACCCATATACCAGTGTCTTGTGTTGTAGTTGGATTAAGTACGCCTAATTGTTGGCAAGCGTTGATAACAGTTTCTTCCAAAGTTTTGATATACAAACGCATGGTTAGTTTGAATTGTCTTAGATGTATAATGGGATATGCTACGAGCTGACCGTGACCATGAAAAGTTATGAGTCCACCACGATTCGTGCGATAAAATTCTGCACCACATTTCCGCAGGCGTATCTCATCTTCTTTTGTGTATTCCTTTGTGCGCAAACCTGTTGTGTACACTGGATTGAATTCTTGTAACAAAATATAATTTCGAAATTTATCCACTTCCTCCATGCGCTGATTACATAAATACTTTTGTAGGAGTAAACCTGTGCCGTAGCTTATACGCCCGGCTCGTATTACTGTAATTAATGGTTTCATGGCGTTTATTAAGTAAACTCAAAAGTAATTTGAGTATTAAATTGTAGCGTTTCTCCACGAATTTAAACCAAATTCTTGTTAATGCATGATTTTTTATACAAGAAAATTTTGTGCAGATTGCACACTTTAGAGGCACTACATTGTCCACCAATTCCTATTCAATAGCAATAAATACGAAATATAGTGTTTCATAGTTGAATAGATTTTCCTTTTGTATGCAATTGTAAAATTAGACCTTTGAATGAAATTAAATTATATTTTATTTTAATTCAACAATAATATTCTTTTTGTACCTTTACACAAATTATTTGAATAATTATACATATGGAAACCTCTTTATTTCAGTGTTGCCAATTCGTAATTCAATAACGTCAATTATTTATTATGTGCAATGAAAAAATTATTTTAATTGTATGAGAAATTAAAGTTAAAAATATTAATTTTAAAATGTTTACTAATTAAATATGGTGTAGTGGTTTTTTATGTTAGGGTTTATTTCGAATTTAACACTCCGTATTGGTAATGGATAAGTTAATTTAACACTCCGTATTGGTAATGGATAAGTTTATTTATTTCTTATACTTAGTTATTATAAAATATTCTTAAAGTTAAGATTTATGTTTTTACGTCTTATTCACGTGCTGCTTTGTCTTTTTCCAAACTACTACTGGCGGGAACTGCGGCTATTGTTGTCTCCTTTGTGCCTTGTTGACAGTTCTTTTATTTATATTTTTTGGTGCTGCCACAGTACTCCCCCCTAAGTGATGGAGTCACTGAATTTGGTTGGAAAGCGAACGTTGCGTCCTGATTTTGTCAGGTTAGCTGTTGTATTTGGTCGCACAGATTGGTCGCCATTAACGTTGTTTGGAGTGTGGTATACCATTGATTTGTTGTGGATGTCAATGTCTGTATCGGGACATATGAAAGCAGCTTTAAGACGATCTATGCTAACTGTTTGTTCTTTGTTTTCGATCAGTATTCTAAACGTCTTGTCATTTCGCTCTAGTATTTGGTAAGGACCATCGTAAGGTTGCGTCAATGGTGGTTTTACCTTGTCATTTCGTATAAATACATGCGTGGCTGAGCTTAGAGCCGGTTGAATGTGGTAGCCTCGGTCTATATGATGCGATACCAACGTTGCCTTGACGCTCTGCATTTGTTCTCTTAGCTTGGTTATGAAATCGTGTTGATTTATATTTCTGTGGCTAGGGTTGCTTACTATTTCGCCCGGTAAACGTAGAGTTTGGCCATATAGCATTTCAGCAGCAGAAGCTCCAATGTCTGGTTTAAAAGTCGTGCGTAGACCTAACAATACTATTGGTAAAACTTCTGTCCAAGAAGTTGTTTGGTGGCACATTAAGGCTGCTTTTAATGTGCGGTGAAATCGTTCCACCATTCCGTTACTTTGAGGATGGTAACTCGTAGTTCGTAAGTGTTTGCAACCGATAACTTCAGCTAGTTGGTTGAACAATGAAGATTCAAATTGTCTTCCTTGGTCTGTTGTGATACGTAAGGGTACGCCAAAACGTGCGATCCATTGAGTAATCAGTGCGTTTGCGATGGTTTCCGCTGTTTGATCTGGGATCGGAATTGCTTCTGGCCATCGGCTGAAACGGTCGATGATGGTTAATATATATGTGCAGTTGTTTGATGGTGGTAGCGGGCCGACGATATCTATGTTTATATGTTCGAATCTGTGTTCAGCGAGTTCATATTGACAAATAGGTGAACGGTTGTGACGTTGCACTTTAGAACGTTGGCATGGGATACATTGTCGGGTCCAGTTTCTGATATCAGCATTTATAGAAGGCCAGAAAAATTTTTCAGCTATCATTTTTGTTGTGCCCCGAATGCTGGGATGAGACAACCCATGCGTAGCTTTAAAGATATGTAGCCGGTATTTCTGCGGAATGTAAGGACGAATTCGCCCAGTTGAAACTTCGCAATAAATTTTATCTGATATTGTTGGTAAAGATAAAAGTTTGATTTCGATGGAATTGTTGTTTTTGATATCTTGTAGTTGTGGGCAACATCGTTGTAATCCAATTATACAATCGTAGTCGATTTTTGGGATGCTAATACTATCTATCCGCGAGAGAAAATCTGCTGGGATGTTGTCTTTTCCGCTGACATGAACGATATTCGTTGTAAATTGACCTATATAATCAAGCTGTCGGACTTGACGTGGTGAAGCCTTGTCGGACTTTTGCTGGAATGCGAACGTGAGTGGCTTGTGGTCAGTTATTAATACGAATTCACGACCTTCTAACATATGTCGAAAATGTTTTATGCCCTGATATGCGGCTAACAACTCACGATCGTATGTGCTGTATCGTTTTTGTGTATCTGTTAATCGTTTAGAGAAAAAACCGAGTGGTTGGAACGTGCTGTCTGTCACTTGATGAAGAACTGCGCCGAGAGCTTTATCCGAGGCGTCTACTTGTAATGCAAGCGTAGCAGTTTTTGACGGATGAACAAGTAGTGTCGAGTTTGTTAGTTCATCTTTACATTTTTGGAAGATTGTTTTGTTCACTTCGGTCCAGCATAACGGTGTGTTGTCGTTCTTCTTGTTTCCTTTTATCATTTGTTGAAGTGCAGTTTGAGAATCTACAGCGTTTGGTACGAACCTGCGATAAAAGTTAAGTAATGCTAGAAATCTTCTTAATTCTTTTGTTTTTGTTGGAAGCGGGTACTCGCTGATGCTCTTCACTCGATCTGGTAGAGGTTGAATGCCCTTTTCACTGATGAGATAACCAAGAAATTTTACTGTGTTTTGAGCAAAAACGCATTTTGATACGTTTATTATTAAACCATGTTTTCTGAATCGTTCGAATACTTGTTGCAAGTGTTGCCTGTGCTCTTCCTCGTTTGCTGATGCAATAATGACGTCGTCAATATAGGCAAAGGCAAATTCGAGATCTCGTAATACTTCGTGAATGAAGCGTTGAAATGTTTGACCTGCATTGCAAAGTCCGAATGTCATGTTAGTAAATTCAAATAATCCAAATGGAGTTATGATCGCCGTTTTTGGAATATCCCCCGGTTCAACTGGTATCTGGTGATATGCCTTAATCAGGTCGATGGTTGAAAAAACTTTTTGGTTATATAACATGTGTGCAAAATCATGTATGTGAGGAACTGGGTAACGATCTGGGATAGTGATTGCATTTAAGCGACGGTAATCTCCGCAAGGTCTCCAACTACCGTCTGGTTTTTTTACCATATGTAAGGGGCTAGCCCAATTGCTGCTTGATGGACGGCATATTCCGGCTGTGACTAAGTTTTGGAATTCTTCTTTTGCTGCTGCTAGCTTGTCTGGAGGTAACCTACGTGGTCTCTCACATATTGGTGGACCTTTTGTTAATATGTGGTGAGTGACTTTGGTCACCTGGCGATTTGTAGGTGTTGGTTTAGTGATGTCGATGTATTCTTTTAGTAGATCTGCAATTTTGCAAGATGTGTTCACAGTTGATATTTTTTGCGCATTTACCTTACGTTCACTTGCGGCTGAGAAAATCTTTGTTGATGTGTCGATCAATCGTTTCATTTTTATGTCTACTATTAATCCGAAATGATTTAAAAAATCTGCACCGATGATTGAAGTGTTTACATCTGCGATAATAAATGGCCATGTGAAATTTCTTCGTAAGCCAAGAGCTAGAGTTATCTCTATTTCTCCAAATGTTTTGATCATAGAACCATTTGCTGCGTAGAGTATTCTTTCGTTCTTATTGTTTGTATTTGAATTTTTTTGTTTGGCGGCAATAAGTGAAACATCTGCACCCGTGTCTATTAGGAATGATTTTTTTGTCTTATTGTCATAGACGAACAGTCTTGTAGATGTTTCGTTTACAACTTCCTCTGCCGCCGTAGACGAAGTCGGTTTTAGTTTTTTGTGCCATATGTGCATGGCTGCTTGCAATTTTTTGCATTTGACCCATATGTTCTATGATACCAACAATTTGTACTGGTCTTTTCTTCACTATCATCATGACATTGCCGGTTTCTGGATGTTGAACGTGAACGTTGATTTGTTCTTGAGCGGTGTTCGGTTGATAATTTCGAGACCATTTTCGTCAGTCTGGTCACTTCTCGTTGAAGTTGTTCGATTTGTGCATCACGTTGAATATGAGCTGCTGCAGGGACGTTAGCTGCATTGACGTAAGTTCCTTGCATTGTTGAGTTTATACGGATTGTTTCGGTTATGTTGTCTGCCAATTCCGCCATCTTAGGTAGTTCCACTTGAATTGTGGCTAGACATGTCTGTACTTCTACAGGAAGACGTTGTAACCATAACCCTTTCAGTAATTGTTCGTCTTGTTTGCTTCCACTAATACGTTGCAATTCGCTTAAAAGATGGGATGGCTTTTTATCCCCAAGCTGTAAACCACTAACTAATTTTTGTATGCGTTTTTGTTCACTATCCGCAAAGTTTTTTATTATTGCTTGCTTGATACCTTCGTACTTCTGAGTTGCTGGTGGATTCTGTATTGTGTTATAAATTTGTTCTAACAGCGATGCATCCAATGCTGCGATAACTGTGCCAAACTTTTGAGTATCGCCCTTTATGTTGTTGACTTGGAACCAGTAGTCCAACTGAATAAACCAAAGGTCAATGTTGTTTTTTATTAATGTTGGCATCGGCAGCTTTATTGCAGTGATTGTTGCGTTTTCATTGATTGGGTTAGTGTCTTCGGTTATCTTTTGCTCTTGAGTAGCCATTTTTTTTTTATATATTCGACGTCGGCTTGGTCACCAATGTAGTGGTTTGTTATGTTGGGGTTTATTTCGAATTTAACACTCCGTATTGGTAATGGATAAGTTTATTTATTTCTTATACTTAGTTATTATAAAATATTCTTAAAGTTAAAATTTGTGTTTTTTCGTTTTATTCACGTGCTGCTTTGTCTTTTTCCAAACTACTACTGGCGGGAACTGCGGCTATTGTTGTCTCCTTTGTGCCTTGTTGACAGTTCTTTTATTTATATTTTTTGGTGCTGCCACA